AACTCTTCATTTTGCTCGCACGCTTACTTCTTTTCCTCTTTAGAGAGAGGGTTCGCTTAAAAGTAATGAAAGCCAGTAAGGTAAGATATTTTAAAACATATGAAAATTTGAGCCACAGAGGTTTTTGCAGGTTAGTTCAGTATAAAACAAGTGGGTAAATGTAGTTTATTATTAACAATTGTGGCAATATATGCACCTGTACAATATGATTATCAAAATAATATGTACAAAAAAATATATTTGTTGATTGGTGTTAAGTTCAATTATAGTTGGCAGCTTGTTGATGCTGCCAACTGCATGCTCAAGCTAATAATGGCTTTTTCTTGCAACACAACAACAGTTGAAGAACATTTCTGGTGTACACAGTTTTTAATATGCTACTGTAAGAAAGCTGTTGTTAGACAAACAAAGAGGAAACAAAATAAATGTTTATCTATCCTGCCAATATTGTGCCATTGTCTGGCAATACACCTAAGCCACAGTGATGGTGTACAGTTGTTAGGACAAGACCAACAGTTCTGAACGGTGTGAGCTTAAAGGTTTCCTCTGGAGCCAATTTCCTTTTCAAATCTCATATTTCCTAAACTTGCTGATGTGTGTACCCCGCATCGAGCTCCACCCACACCTCCTCGGTGGCCTAGCACAATGTTGAATGGAAACACATGGAGACTGAAGACGGCGATGTTTTGCATTTTCTTCTTCATTTAAACATTCATCCAGGTTTTTTTCTTCACCTGAAAATCACATTTAGAATGACTTTGAATTTACTGAGTATTTCAACAGGTGGCCAAAGATAAAATTCAGAAAAAAATTCAAGTTTTTTTTTTCTAAAATCCCAAAAATAAACAGTACTTAATGCAAAGTACTGCCAAATAGGTTTCATTTGAATGGTAACAACATAGGATTTCATCCACAGACGCAAAAGTTAGAACTACATACTTAATAAATAGTACCGTGTGAAAGTACTGCTGAAGAGGTTTCAACTGAATGGTAACACCATAGGATTTCATCCCCAGAGTGAAAAGTTAGTTTTTATAGTATCACATGAAAGTACTGCTAAAGAGGTTTCATTTGAAAACACCATAGGATTTCATCTGCCGATTTTAAAGTTAGAGTTGCATATAAATGTGCCCTTTTTCATGTAGCATGAAAGGGTAACATAATTATGGCCAATCTTGTCTTAGTTTGGAAAGTACTTTTAAATCCCACTGATTGAAATTCTGCTCTAAAAAATACATAAGCAACAAGAGAAAGTCAGATTTAATAAGGAATGCAAGGTATCAAGTTACAAACATCAGAAGCAGTCTGACAACACTGTCAGTTTTTTCTTACTTTTCTTCCAATCCAACATGAGCTCCTTCCTTGGTTTGGCTGCCCAATGTAATGATGTGTGAACTGCACCACTCAGCTCAAGCCACTGTTCATATGGTACAGCTATTCCAGATTTGCGCCATTTATCATACTTTTTTCTGCCTTCTTCATTACAAAGAGTATTGCGAGCCTGTTTTAATCTGAAAACAGTAATACAGTAAGATAAATATAAGGTTTACTTTGCAACAAGCCTTAATTGTATCTTTTTTTCTGTTTTCTTTTATTGGTTGTCTTGCAATATCATTTTTATTCTCTTAAAAATATTGTTTAAGCTTAGCACTCACTAGGCCTATGCATTGCAATGACGTGTGTCGAAGTCAAAACTCCTTTAATGCACTTTGAATAATGTTATCTGATGCTGCAACAAAATATCTTCCTGGTAACAGGTTTTTTGGGTATGTCATATTGTTGCAAGGTCAAAACTCCTTTAATGCACTTTGAATAATGCTATCTGATGCTGCAACAAAATATCTTCCTGGTAACAGGTTTTTTGGGTATGTCATATGAGGAAAAGGTGTGTTACCTAGGATGTGTGATTTAAGTAAAAACTGTTGCTTAACTCAGTGTGGCTAGTTCTTACACCAAGGATTTACCAGTGTGTAAGCTTTGTAAAAAAGTTTGCTCAATATTCTTTTTCTTACCAAAAGCCTTTTTTAATCCGAATATTCCCTTATAACTGTATTGGAGATATGATTTTTCCCATGCTAAAACTTCCTTCCCAAGGAATCTATTTTATTAACTCTTTCATATTTTTAAAAGAGAAAATCGACCTTTCAGACTTAACATGACAGATTTTTTGAGATGGACTTTGTAGCAAAGCGACTTGTAAGCAAGCTTATCGTACAATTTAGGAATAAACACTGCATTCTATCTTACATCCAGTGGTAAACAATCACCCCCCCCCCCCC